TCGGGTAGTGTGGGCGGCATATAAGTTAAATAAATAAATAAATAAATAAATAAATAAATAAATACATAAATACATAAATACATAAATACATAAATACATAAATACATAAATAAGTACTACCGACAATTTGTTCCCAATTTTGCTGAAATAGCTGCACCCCTCACAGACTTGACTAAGAAGAGGGTAATTAACAAGAAGCTGGGGATTCATAGAACAGAGAGCCTTTAATCAGTTGAAAGAGATATTAAATAGTTTACCCTGTAGGTGTGCTCCTGACTTTAACATGCCTTTTATAGTACAAACTGATGTGTTGAATAGAGGCATAGGAGCTGTGTTTACACAAATTTGAGGAGGTATAGAATATCCAACAATGTATTTAAGCAATAAATTATCTCCAGTGGAACAGAAATATGCAACTATTGAAAAGGAGGCATTAGCGACGAAATGAGCTATATATTTTTTGAAATATTATTTATTAGGAGCACCGTTTACACTAGTTATAGACCATGCCCCATTACAATGGCTGAATAGAATGAAGGACACTAATCCTAGGTTGACGAGATGGTATCTAAGCTTACAGCCATTCACATTCAATTTTCAATACAAAAAGGGCAGTGCTCATACTAATGCAGACTATTTTTCCTGACAGGGTGCACAGGAAGGAACACTGGACAAGGAGACAGCAAAAGAAATAAGTAAAGATTAAGTAAAAGATTAAGTAAAAGATTAATTAAAAGAAGGATTGAGAGATGAAGCAGAAGGGGTGATTATAAAAAGAGGAGAGGAGAAAGGAATAAAAGTGGAGATTTGTTTGGTAGAAGGAGGAAAGGGAACGGAAGAGGAGGAGTTAATATTACCTGTATGGGAAGAGGATAAAAGGGAGAAGGAAGGGGTGAGAGAATGCAGATCACCACAGGAAGCTACCAAAGAGGGAGGAGAGAAAGAATATAAAAAGGCACGCGATTTAATGGAGGATTTTCCAAACCTGATTGTTGCCTGGCCCAGATCCGAAAGAGAAAAAAGTGACCATCACAGAGACCCTGGAATGGACTGTAGTAGTTTCCTGAGAGAGCAAGGTCATGGGAGGAGAGTGATCCAGCCGGACACCTCCTTCAAAACCACCAGTCGAGGGAGACTGGGCATGCCGTCCATGTTGTGATACGATCTGCGCTGTGAGGAGCCCCCTGTTGAGAAACTCGACGGACAGAGAACGGTTTGGATCAGCTCTGCAATGAAACCAGACAGTTCTACATTTTAAATGTTACCTAATGCGTATGGACAGTTGTCTGAGTTAAGTCATTTTGGGCCAGTCGAAGTAATTGTTGAGTCTCCTTATGTTAAGCTTAATACCTGTTAACGTTTCAAATGACTCTTCATGGTTATTTCCTGCCCAAAGAGAGGAACTGCCACCCCTTTCAACCGAACCCAATCACAGGTAGAACAATGTATATACGATTGAAGAAGTTGCTAAGAAGGGCTCAGAAACTTGACAAGTACACATTTTGTCTGTTCTGTCCACAACCATGAGAAATGCAATAGCAGTGCGGAAAACTGAAAAGTAGCTTTTATTTTTAGCTCTTTTATTCTCTCAGAAGAAAGTGAACTATCTGCACTTGAAACTTACAAATCTATTTCAGGAACTAGACACAATTTCCAAAATAACTACCGTATTTGCCGGCGTACAAGGCGACTGGCTGTATAAGACACCCCCCAACATTTCCACTCAAAATATAGAGTGGACGGCTCTGCTGCGGCGCCGGCAGCAGCTGCCTGGGGCTCTGCCCAGGCCCGCCCTGGAAGTTCATGGCTGGCGGGGAGGAGGGCGAGGAAGAGTGGAAGAGGCTGCACGGGCAGTGGCAGGAGGAGGAGGAGGAGGAAGAGGGGAAGCGGGCGGGTGGAGGGCGAGCAAGCACACAGCTGGCTCAGCAGTGAGAGGGTGAGGAAGAGGGGAAGAGGCTGCGCGGGGAGCAGGAGGAGGAGGAGGAGGAGGAGGAGGAGGAGGAGGAGGAGGAGGAGGAGGAGGAGGAGGAGGAGGAGGAGGAGGAGGAGGAGGAGGAGGAGGAGGAGGAGGAGGAGGAGGAGGAGGAGGAGGAGGAGGAGGAGGAGGAGGAGGAGGAGGAGGAGGAGGAGGAGGAGGAGGAGGGGGAAGAGGGGAAGCTGGTGGGTGGGGGACGAGGAAGAGGGGGAGGAAGAGGGGAGGAGGCTGGGGGGGCGGTGGGAGGAGGAGGAGAAGAGGGGAAGCGGGCGGGTGGCGGGCGAGCGAGCACGCAGCTGGCTCAGTGGTGCGGGGCAGAGGGCAGCCCAGCGGTGGGCTCTGGCCACTCAGGCATGGCTGTCTCTGCTTCCCTCCCTCCATCCAGACCAACTGCCTGCCTGCCCGCCTGCCTTCCTCCCCGGCCAGCGCAGCCCCGCGTCACTTACTCAACAGAGGCGGTGGCTCCTTCTTGGCCCAAATGAAGTGCACCCGGCGTACAAGACCCCCCCCCCACTTGGAGGCATGTTTTATGGGCCAAAAAAGTCATCTTCTATGCCAGCAAATACGGTAAACTTAGTTACAGGAGGTAGGCTATATTTATGGATATCTGACCATGTTTATTTGGGTAGACTACTCTTATGGATACAGTAAGGGAAAAGAAGCACTCTTAGCAGTTCTGCACAAGAGAATTTTGTGTCAAAAGTTTGGATAATATTTTCCCAGTTATTTTGACATGCAGCGTCTTTTAAAAATGGTTCTTTATTCCACTTGTGATGATTTTGTTCCTAAGTGACCAATCTTGTAAACAGAACATTATGTGTGTGCTTGGTTCTTGTTGCTATGGTGTACTCTGCTTGCCTAGCATTTTTTTTCTTGCAGTGTTTATAACTACTAGGCAGAATTTGCCCTTTTGTGATTACTTGTGGTTTTGAAGTACATTAAGTTTTCTTGCTGAGAATAAGAAAATGAACAATGGAGATGTAATAATTCTGAATGTAGGGGGACTGAAATTCACAACATGGACATCTACTTTGCAGAGATTCCCTGAATCTAGGTTGGCAAAGATGCTGAGTGGAAATGATCCTGCATTTAGGTTTGTGAATGGTCAATTTTTTGTGGACCGTGATGGTGTTCTGTTCAACTATATCCTGGACATCTTAAGAACACTTCAAATTTCATTACCCAAAGACTTCTCAGACTACCAGAGGCTGCAGAGGGAAGCTGATTTCTATGAACTATATCATGTGGCGGACCTTCTGAGACAAGAACATTTGTTGAAACCAAAGCCAGAAATCTTGGAAGTTCGGTTTTTACTCCAAGAAACACAAACCTTTTTTCGAGTGTTTGGTTCTTGCAGTAACACTATTGGTGAATTGGCTGGTCGGATCACTGTTTTTGAAGAAAAGCGTATTGGAAAAAACTGGAAAAATCATGATGATGTATCTCAGAAGCCACTAATTCCCTGTATTTTGGAGCGGCCTTCACATCATGATCTTATTTTCCAGTGTGGCACTGATTACAGCGATCAGCTTGTTGCCAGGTAATTTAAAAGTTGTTTGTGTGGGTATATAGGATAAAGTAGTACAAACAGCATGCTGCATTTTATTTTTCCAAATATTTCAATTACTACATGAAAAGTAGAAGAACAGGCATTTCAGTAAGGTGCCTGAGATTTTACTATTTTTGAGCCTCTTCAATATTACCTTAATAATGTATCCTTAGTGAGTTTATATATTCAAAAATCCAGAATGTTACAGGGATCTGTCCTTTAGTGCTTTGATCTGTTGTGTATGAATAGGTTAAGACTCCTTATTTTAAATGAGAAGTAAAATCCTAGCCAATTCTGAGGGTGGAAACAAGATAACATGTTGGTACGTGCAGAACAGACTGAATCCTCTAGAGTAGGGCTCAGGGAACTTTTTTACCCTTTACCCCCCTAAAAATGTATGTATGCCGACATTAGCCCCTTGATTTGAAAGGAAGGATCTCGGTCACGTGTGTCTTGGTCACACGCAGCCAGTCGAGCGCTGCCACTGAAGCCTTGCTGCCCGGGCTGCCGCCGCCTCTGCCACCGCCTGGTAGGGCTGCGCTCAGTCCTTGGCCCCACGGGGGTGGCTCCCTTTCTTCACCAGCAGGCGGCTCCTGGGCGGCCATCGAAAAACAGCAGGTGGCTTGCCCGCTGGGAGCTGCCTCCCGCTCCGGCTCTGGTGGCTGCTTGCTGGGGTGTCCGCATCGGGCCTCGGCATCAGGACTCCCATGGCCCTCGCCATCGAAGTGCTGCAACAGCTGCTGCATGGAGGGTGAGAGGCTCTGTCAGGCTTGGCCAGTCGGCATGGAGGCGCCGCCGAAGGAAACTGTGAGGCCGGGCAAGTGCCGCTGCCAGCCAACAGGCTCCTCCGAGGACAGGGCGTGGGGCTGCGGTGGTGTCCTGGAGCTGTGAGGCTGAGCCTGGCCCGGGCTGCCATCATGGCCGCCCCCACCCCCCTCCGCCGTGAACCACGTCTCTGGGCACTGGAAGGAGAGGCTCCTCCTGGCTGGGGCACTCTGGCCACTTGCCCCTGCCTCACCCTCCACCATGGTTGGCCCCACCACCGCCTTGGCTGCCATATGCTGCTGGCTGGGGACGGTCACTGACCACCGGCCGCCGTGGCTCAGTTGCAGCCGGGCCGGAGAAGGCGGCCCCCCTCCGCCGTGAACCACGTCTCTGGGCACTGGAAGGAGAGGCTCCTCCTGGCTGGGGCACTCTGGCCACTTGCCCCTGCCTCACCCTCCACCATGGTTGGCCCCACCACCGCCTTGGCTGCCATATGCTGCTGGCTGGGGACGGTCACTGACCACCGGCCACCGTGGCTCAGTTGCAGCCGGGCCAGAGAAGGCGGCGGGAAGGGGGTGATTGGGCAGCCGGGGACCCCCTCTCCGGGCAGAAGAGGAGGGGGAAGGGGGTTAGGGTTGTATCCTCATTACCCCCAGGATTTTCATTTTTATCCCATTTGAGGTAATTTACCCCTGTTCCTTGACCACTGCTCTAGAGCCTAAACAATAAAATTACCATTGCCAGTCCACACAGTCTTAAATCTTCATTATGCTCTGTGATGTCACGTTGCTTCCAATGCATAAGGACCCTAATCAGGTTTCTGAGATATATGAGATGCTTAAGTAGTAGTTTACCACGGCTGCCCTCCAGTGAATGTCCATGGCTGAGCAAAGATTTGAATCCAGGTCATATCATGGAATCACAGTATCATTATAGGCTTAGAAGGGACCTTGGGGGTCTTCTAGTCCAACCCCTTGCCCAAGGCAGGAGATCTCATACCATCCTGAACCTCATACCATCCAATTTTTTCTTGAAAACCTCCAGCAATGAGGCACCCACAGAATGTCCTAGTCTGACATTCTATTTGCTACATCACACTGGCACTGTTTAAATTTTCAGGGGTCAATAAATAGGCAGCCAAAATTTGTACCCACCATGAGCCTGCCCCTGTGAGGGATAAACCCTGCTGTCCTCCAGAGCTGAAGAGCATATTAACTCCACCATGCTATGCCTCAGACATTCAGAACAAGCATGCAATCTCATTCTTTTTCAAATGAGACTTGGCATTTCTCGCATTCTGTGCCTTACCAAGGAGAACCTAGACTAGTCTCCTAAAGTTAGCATGATATTAGGCAGAGTCCTCATACTTTGGGGGGTTAGGGTCTGCAAGAGAGTAGAGGACATTTGCTCCATCTCCCAAAACCTGTATTTATTTTGTCTAAACAGATACACATTTTACTGGTCACCAAGGCATTCCGAGTGTTCCCTGAGAGCATTCCTATTGAAATCTGTCCGCTAGAGTCTACATGACTGATCTTAGCAACAAAGACAATAACATTTAGATGTCAAACAGAAAAGAAAATTCTCAGATTTTGGCAGCATCAATGTGGATCACAAGGGACTTGCCCTCTCTGCTCTGGTCTCTTAGACACCCTCCCTAGGCCAGCAGGCAGCTTGGAAGTATCCTACTTGTTCTGGTTGTTCTATTAGAAAATGCCAAAAAACCCTTAAATATTGTTTGTTCATCCGGATATTCCTGCAGCACACCTGAAGTTATCTTTCTTCTTTCCCCTCCCCTTCATAAAAATCCCCCCCACTCCACATAAACTTTTGTGGGAGTTTATTATGTCCCTTGTGATCCACATTGATGCTGCCAAAATCTGAGAATTTTCTTTTCTGTTTGACATCTAAATGTTATTGTCTTTGTTGCTAAGGATCAGTCATGTAGACTATGTGCACACAAAAGTACAATGGATAGATAAGTGATGGGTGCATACCATGTAGCAGTGCATATGTACCTGAATTGTGCTCCCATGGAGACTGAATAAACATTCATACTACAACAAATACAGTCTCAGTGGTTTTGGCCAAGACAGTAAAGAAACCTGGGGTATCTTATCCCTCAAAACAGCAGCTGGGATGTGCATTCCAGGTCAAAGCTGTGCCAAAGGATTGCAATTTAATCCATTTCTCATGCCGTTTTCTGACTGAAAAGCATTGTCTGGCACTATTTGTCTCTTTAGTAAAATCATATGGCCACACACAACTGTCATTTTTATTTGCAGTTTCTTCCATTTAGAACCTATTTCCTTTAGCTGCTCCTTTATTTGCACAACTTCTACATGTTCTACTAGACTTATTCATTTGGTCAAGTAATTAGAGCCTGAACTTTTAATATTTTCATTCTTTATTCTGTGTATCTGTTCTTTTATATGTTCTTTTATCTCTTTAGACTTCAGAAATAAGATTGGATTTCAAACTAAATAATATTAAAATTAACAACATTTTTTCATATTTTTTCCAGGTATGTTTCCATAAAGCCTGATCAGAGGAAACTGTTTAATGGAGCTAATATTCTAGGTCTGTTGCTTGACATCTTACTCAAAGAAGAATTTCATTTAATAGGTACAAGGACAGTTGATGAAAAAATTGAATGCTATTGTTTTGAAAGAATGAGGCAGCCAGATGCCTTTACCATCAGTTCCAGTCAAACACAGCAAGACACTCCTACACCACAAGCAAAGCTAATCCAGAAGATCAAAAGGAAATGAATGTCTGTGTGCCAGGTTAGCAGCATCTTATTCCCTGAGATTTCAGGAGTTGGATCCTCAGAACATTACAGAGGCAGGGCTTAGGAGGGAGGCTGAATCGATTAATCAATTGTAGAAATGAATAGAAGGGGATATGCAAGAAACGTCTGCCATGAGGAAGTACGGATTTGCCCTATCTGTATTTCCAGATAGATATAGAAATATGTGGTCAGAAATTCATACATGTTTGAGCCTGTGTTGCATTTTGCAAACTATATTTCCCCCCTCAGTCACATGTATATATTTGAAAAATGTGGAAAACACTCTGTACATTTCTAAAATACAAAGAAACCCCATAATTTAGTTAATGGCTCCTGATACTACATTGCAAATCCAGTGTTTGAAATTCCAATTTCAGATTGCCTTTGGATTGAAGTGGCTCAGTTGGCATAGTGAGACACTGTCTGTTCAGTAACTACCAGCTGAACGTGTTGTATTTTATATTTTAATGCTGGAAAGGCTTCCATCATGGCAGGGAATTATTAAATAACATTAAAGCAGACCTGGGCAAAGTGCAGCCCGAGGGCCACATACGGCCTGCGAGCAGCTCTGGTCTGGCTCGCGGACAGTTTTGAACATCAAAACCATTTATAGCTTTTTGTCTAAAGTTGATCAGTTGCTTATTTTTAACATACTGCAAAAAAACCTCTTTAGTACTGTATTTGTGAAGATTAACAAGTTTAAAATAAAAACAATCATAACATCACTGTTTCATTTTATTTTTAAGTAAAGTTGGTTTGGCCCCCAAACACAGTTCAGATTTTTCATGTGGCCCCCTATAGAAATTAATTGCTCACCCCTGCATTAAAGTATAGTTCAGACAAGCCTCATGGCAATATGGCTAGTGCCATGGGTCTTGTTTGCTTAGGAAGAGGTGGGCAGAGAGCTGAATGGAGCATTCACCCCCACCTTCCTTTCACAACTTGCGTCCTGTGACATTTCTGTCATATGTTATTCACAATGGCAGGACATGTACACTTCCCATATATATTGACCCAATAGCAATGCTTCTTCTTCCAGGGCACAACTAAGGGAGGATTCTCCACATTTTGCCCAGATTATGTCATCTCACTTTGGTTGAAGCACTATTAGAAGCAAAAACAGGGCCTTCTCTTGGGTGGTGACTTCTTGCAGAACATGGCAGCAGGATATGTGGCTTCACATTTATGAACTAGAGCAGTGGTCTCCAACCTTTTCCAAACTCTGGACCGGTTGGGATAGCAGGGTCTGTGCGTGGGGGGGGGCACCGACCTTCCTCCAGGGACCCTTCCCTTGTGGGTGTACATATACGGACCATTCTAAGGGATCCAATTCCCCCAGTTGTATTTCTGGACCTGGACCTCCTCGTCCCCGAACATAGCCACCTCCTCTCTCTCTTTTTGCTTCCTTTCTACCCGGACAAATAAAAACATATGGTTCTTCTTCCTCCCCCCCCCTTTTATGCTGCTGTCTTATTTTTCTTCCCTCTCTGGACTAATCCACTCCTCTGAAGCCTAGTTTTTCTTCCTCTCCCCCCTCCCCCATCATCAAGAAACCTTCTGCCACCTCCTCTCCTTTGCCTGCCTTTTCTCCTTTCCCCTGCTCTTTAATCACCCCTCCTCTTATAGTTAGGTCCTCCAGCCTCATAGGCAAGGTGGACATAAGGGTGCTGACTCTGTCTGCCCAGGACGGTTGAGGGGACGGCTCACTTCTAGGTTTAACCACAACATTAGCCTCCTCTTCACACAATCTGATCAGTTTCATATTGATAAATGCTAGATAAAAAAGGCATATGAGTGTGTTGTCCTATTTTAATAATTTTAAAAGATCTTTCTACAGTAATGGCCAAAAATATTGGCACCCTTGCAATTCTGTCAGGAAATGCAACCCTTCTCTCAGAAAATAGATGCAGTTGCAAATGTTTTGGTTCTCACATGTTCATTTTTTTGCTTTGCGTTGGAACAACACACACACAAGAAAATTCGAATCCGATACAATTCCATGCAGAAACCCAAAAATGCACTGGCCAAAACTATTGACACCCTTAACTTAATATTTGGTAGCACCCCTTTTGGAAAAAAAATAACTGAAATTAATCACTTCCTGTAACCATAAATGAGTTTCTTACACCTCGCTGCGGGCTAAACCGCAGAAGCCTGTGCTGCAGGGTCAGAAGACCAAGCAGTCGTAAGATCGAATCCACGCGACGGAGTGAGCTCCCGTCGCTTGTCCCAGCTCCCGCCAACCTAGCGGTTCGAAAGCATGCAAATGCGAGTAGATAAATACTAGGTACCATCTCGGTGGGAAGGTAAACAGCGTTCCGGGTCTAAATCACACTGGCCATGTGACCACGGAAAGATTGTCTTCGGACAAACGCTGGCTCTATGGCTTGGAAACGGGGATGAGCACCGCCCCCTAGAGTCGAACACGACTGGACAAAAATTGTCAAGGGGAACCTTTACCTTTACTGCATTTTTGGACCACTCTTCTTTTGCAAACTGCAA